TAGCATTGTTATTGTTTTTCTGCGCTTGGCTCCCAGTCCCCACCCCCAGCAGTAGTAATTAGACCAGCATGTTGAAACAGTCGCTGGAACTGGGAGGGAATAAAAAAACACTGTGATAGGATTATGACTTTGCCCCCTTAGCCATGTGCTGTCAGATTATTCATTCTCACAGCCTTGCTAATTAAAATGGTAACTAATGCTGAGAAATAGGTCTAATTGTCTACTATGGGTTAGTGGTGTGTGTTTGGATGGAAGGAGGGGTTGGCATGACATGTTTGTAATTAAATGTTATATATGTGAGCAGTAGAGATGGAGCGAGTCAGAAAGAGAACAGCTGGAAAGAAGGGGCGGGTTGTAGAGAAAACCAGACAAAATGATAGCCTGAAGGTAGGTTTCCTCCATTAGCCAGATTTGTCCCTGCAGCATACATAGAAGCTCGAAGGCTAATGAGAGAGCAAAATCCTAGGGAGCAAAGTGTGACATATTCTTTGTAAACCAAATCTCATCTGTCACTGTGTCTTCATTGCTCCTGATCTCCCTCTTGCTCGACTTGCTCCTAAAGTTTAATTAAAGAAACTAATGTATCTCATTAAATCGTAAAGAAGGGATAGAGAGTAAGCTGCAGACCATTTAGTCTCTCTTTAGTGTCTATATCCTCTGTTCTTTTACCACTCACCGTCAAAAGACTGATCAGGAGGAGAGGAAACCTGTAATACTTGCACTTCTGTGTGCTGAAAGAGTCAAACACAGAAGTTAATATCTGAGCATGTGAGGGAAATTGACACATGCAGTCAAGATAAAACCATGCAAATCACTATTGCAGTGAGATAATGCAAACTCAATGAACTATCTTGTCTGTCAATGTCTACATGTCAGCTGGTGTGTGAATGCATGTGTGAGTGGCTATGTGTGCAAGTGTGTGTGGGCAATAGTAGATAGCTCCATACAAGCAGCGTAAAGTAGCCAGTTGCCCCAGGGACTCATCAGCCTTATGGACAGAGACCTGCAGTAGCTCCACAGGAAATGGCATACTTCCGGAAAGCTGTCTTGGACACGGTCACTACATTAGTTGCAGCGTGTGTGTGTGTGTGTGTGTGTGTGTGCTTTTAAAAGCTATGTGGCCATTTGTGGATGTCCCCCACAACAATTGGTCATCAGTTGGTTTGTGTGTCAAGCCTCGGCCAATGTGCAACAAATATTTTCTTCATAATTGCGTGCACAAGGTAGGATGCGTGCATTAGATTAAACACATGCAAACCTACGTATATTTTCCTTATTTCAGATGAATTAATTAAAAATTACATTACTGTTGTAATCTCCATGAGGGGAGTCCTTAGACTGCTACATACTGTGTGATAACCACAATATTGCAGGTTCACTACATGTAACAGTGTGCGAGATTGGTTAAGTTGGGAGACGTGTAAATATAAAGAAAGAAAATGTAAGCAGAGACAACATTTCTGACACTGGCTCTGTTTTGGTTGTCAAAGCTCTAAATCAGCCGCTGCGAGATGTGTTTCAGAGTGAGATAGGGCAGCTGTTGTGGATTGACCACGTTTCTCTTACGGTGATTATTGTAGCCTAAAATCACAATGTAAAGAAGGTTTTTGCCTTTGTTGCCTGTTAATGGTGTCGATGTTCTGAGGGTAGCCTTTTTGGTATGTTTTTGAGATCTTCATGGATCAGGTTGTAGAAAGGCCTTTTCCCAAGAAACACTGCTGTGGACGGGAAGTTAGTTAATGTTCTCAGCATTTAATTTACTTAACCTTTTAAAGTAATGGCTGAAATCCACATAGGCAACACGACAAAAGGTGCCTCACACAGAATGAAAAGTGTTTCTTCTCTGATCACAAGACGAATATCTGGATTTCGTCAAACTTGGTGAAGTGTGCCTGCAGATGTCGTCTGGTGCTGCATGGATTCATTTATAATCCAGTTCCCATTTTTTTCCCACAGATCCAACAAACAGGAATGCAAACATTTCTGCATACAGGAATGTTTTCACCATATTTGTATATCTACTGCTTGGGAGAGATGACAGGTTCATGGGAGAGAGAATGCATACCCTGTGTGTGTGTGTGTGTGTGTGTGTGTGTGTGTGTGTCACAGATCCTTCTTTAACCTATTCAAATAGCACTTCCCATGTGGATGAATTTCAACCATGGTCAATGACTATCAACAGCTTATCTCTCTCTCTCTCTCTCTCTCTCCCTCACACACATACTGTACACATGGAGCTCCTGAACACACTTGTGTCATCTTTTCAGTGTTGCATTGTGTGCCAGCAAAGGTGCTGTAAACAAGGGCTAACTTCCTCTTTCCAGTGAAATCTGAGAATGCAGAAACAGTTTCTTCCCCGGCCACTTTTACACACGCACATACAATCACACAAACAAACACACTGTATGCATATTGTACTGAGCCTCCATCAGTCTCTATATAATTATACTGTACACTATATGCTAATATTTGTACAAAACCTGGCTATATCCAAACAAAGTGAGTCAACAAAGTCTGCATTAAAAGAAGGAAAGGACTATATGAATATTTGAAAGAGCATGGAAAGACAAAGGTGGAAGGATTAACTCTTTAAGGACTAACTCTTCTGTTGTCTGCAAGTTCCCAGATCCAAAAGCTAATTCTTGAGAAATGAGTCACTATAGAAGTCCCACTTGGGTCTGACCTAACATGTATTTTAGAGGAATGTGTGTGTGGGAGTGCCTGTTGCTTACTTGCATGTATTAGTGTATGGATATGTGTGCGTGTTTGTCAGTATATGCATGTGTGTTTGGTCAGCCTGTTCAGCAGACATTCCCAGCTGTTTTCCAGGTAGTGTTCTCACGCTTCTTGTGCATCTCCTGTTTCTCACGCTGGCCGCTTTGACTGTAATCCCTACTAAAAGTTATACACACACACACGCACTGCCCCGCCTCTTTACCTTGCCACAAGGTGAACAAAATCCCACTTCACACACTCATGTAGACACCCCTTCCTGTTTCTGATGATAGAGAGGCAGCCACAACAAAGACCGGACAAGCAAAAATAAGACACACACACACACAAACATTGGAAGAGGGAATGGTACAAGTAAGAGGTGAAGAGGGAGAAACAGGAAGAAGCAGGTAAGAGAGATGGAAAGACAAAGACAGAGAGAAAAGGGAGAGGTGGAGATCAGATGTGGGAATGCGCGGGATCTGACAGGATGAGCTCATGCGCTCTTCTGGCCCCGTCCACCGTGCGTGACTCATACTCGTGTGTTTACAGCTGCAGGTCAGCCCAGGGTGTGTCCTTATTAGACTGCTGGGGAACATGTTTCCTCAAGCACAGGTAGAGCTATTCATCACACCAGTGTTTCAACACTTCCTTATTACCACGCTGCTTGGTCTAATCAAAGTGACTTTGAGCAACAGAAGGAAAGGCTTTAAAAAAAGAGACTTACATTTAGAACATACATTTAGAAAACAGTAGCCTCACAGAGTGCCTGACATAGTGGTCCCTTGAAAGTAACCACATCCCTTCTTAGAGCACAGTATAAGGGAGATTTATTAGGAGCAGGTCTTCTGTTCCCCTCCCTCCTTTTGCCTCAGAGTGATGGATGTGGTTGGTGGAGATGGCACACGACCTGCAGACAGCTATCAGCTCCTTAGAAGGGAACATAATCTGCTTCTTTGGCTGCTGAGTTTCAATGAGCTGCATGTGTATATTTCATTGTGTGATCATGTCTGTAAGTGTTCAAGGTGGTGACAATAACAGAAAGGTTTGGGTTTTAGAAAATGAGTTGAAGCTCTGGAAAACTCACAGCTTCCATATGACCAGTGTTGAACTCACTGGCAAATAAGGATGCATTACTTTTATTGATTCAGTGTAGGGTTTCCTGCTTTGAAAAAACTTTGTATGTTGAAACATGCAAGCCAAGTTTCTTATAACCAGTTGACAGACATTGTGGTAAATACCAGCTTTTAAAAGCCTCTTCAGCATCTAATTCTGAAATTATGTCAGTCTTGATTGTTATCTTTAGTTTTCTATAATGCAGAGAACAAAAGGTCAAATCAGCATGTAAACACCATGACTAGGTCTTACTCAAGATTAATTCTACTTCTGTTTTCTGTCCAGGATAGCGCACAGGACATTGCTCATTACCCAGCTGGGTGGCACATGCTGTCAGTGGGGGGTACCCAGTGTCCAGTTGGGTCAAACTCAAACGGAGAAACAGTTTTAGCATTTTAAACTCACTAACATGCCAGCATTCTTTATAAAAGTGTGTATATTGTAACTTCAATGCACGCAAATCTGACTTGAGGGAACAGAAATTGAGCATAGCGTTGGTTCAGGCTCACAATCCTAGCTACATCAGCTAATAGCAGTTGATCTCAGTGCCAACCCCCATCAGCTGATGGCTCAGTTGATTCTGTGCATTCAGTTGGTGAGTACAGAAAAGTAATTAACTCAAACTGACATCACCCAGGTCAAAAAGAAGTGCTCTTAAAGGCACTGAAAATATACTTGAAATTCACATAGTATGCTTATAGTACATTCATACTTTGAACATGCTTACTACAAGTATATTAAAGATATATTCTCCTGAGCTTTAACATACTTCTCAAAAGTATACTTTGAATAAATTGGTAATATATACTTAATTGAACTTTTATTCAAAACATATTTAACTCTTAGTAAATACTCTTTTGGTGTAGTTTGTGGAAGTACATTGTTAAACAATTACACTTTTAGTGGGTTAAAAATATATTTATGCCAAACATGCTTCATTGTGTAGGCTACTGCAAAATATTGTAATTATGTATGGTAATGGCCACATGTTTCAGCCTGATTTCCAGAAGTATGATTTTTAAAACATTTTAACACTAAAATATTTTTCAAAAGCATATTTTTTCTCATTTCTTTCCTCTTCTTTTTTTAATCCGGTAAATAGCTAGTTGATATTAGAGACCTCTGTTAGAAGGGTGGGTTGGTGTGGGGAAATAGTGGACCCAAATGCAATGTTTGGTTTAAGCAAGTTTTATTGAGAAAAGGGGGGTTAGGGACTGGAGCCGAGGGAGAAAAGATTACCGGGGAAACGCAGGCACAGGGAACCGAGGAGACTAGGACCAGAGCTGGGGAGCATTGAGGCCGAGGAAGCGGGGAGGCAAGGAAGGACTGGGAGGACGCCGTGAGGGAAGTCCGAGGAGGAGGGGACCGCAGGTAGAGCCCAGCCGACTGGACGGAGGACGAGGGTGAGTGAAACTGGGAGGAAAGCAGACAGAAAGACAGGGTTAGTGCGAGGAATAACCAGGAGCTGGAAAACAAAGGTTATTTAAACCTGAGCTTGAGAGGTTGGCACCAGGTTGGGAGCAACGACGATCAAGCAAGAATGGTGTGGAGAACTGGGGTTGAAATACATGCAGGTATGAGGTTGACTACTGGCAGGTGTGGCAGGCTGATGAGGTGGCTGATGAGGTGCAGGTGCGGGTCATTGGCTGGGCTCAGGAGCAGAGGGAGAGAGACCACACACAGGGGAGGAAACACAGGGAGGCAGGCAGAGAACAGAGAAAACCAAGGAAAAATCAGAATAACTGAAGAAAAGGAGAGAAAACCATAACAACCTCTTTCATAAGGGTAACCTGGCCTAGAAGGAAGCAGCACGTGTTCTTAACTTAACAAACAACAACATATAGAAATAAGCATACTTTAAATCATAATACAGTTATACTTGTTTCTGTTTGTAAAAAGTAAACGCTTGTGAACAGAGGGCCGAAGTGTGCCCTCCCGCCCAACCCACTAGCACAGTGCATTCAGTTGGACCAATCAGAATCAAGCTTTTCAAATCGACCACCCAATCACGCAGCGTGAAAGTCCGCTTCACGAAAGTTAACGTGTTTACTGTCGTTGAGAGAGGGAAGCTATGTTTGGCCAGAAATCATTTTTTTTCTCAGGTTTCATTTGTTTTACTTTACGGTGGACACCACAGACATAATAAGAAAAGAACACAGAAGAGAAGAATATCCGGTCAGCTCCCTGCAGAAGTTAAATGTGAAAAGAGCTAAAGAGGCGTGCCTGTCAAGTACAAGCAGGAGAGGACAGACACAGATACTCGTCTTTCTTAGTAAGTTTATTATTGTTAGCAAGACAACACAATTGTGTAAGTTAACTAAAGCTGAGCTCACTCTGGGTTTGGAAATATTTTCCTTGGTGGATGTGCTGGTGTGCATTAGCTAATGCTAGCACGTGGATTAATATATTTGTTAGCTAACGTTAGTTAGCATTTTAATAGCTTCACAATCGAGACAGCAACTTTCGTCTGCCTTAAACAGTGTTGGGAGTAACGCGTTACAAAAGAAACGCAATTAACGTTACAGTAATGTTTTGCTTTTTGCTGTAAGGCAGTTTTTAATGTTACTAAAATTTCGGTAACAGTCAACAATCTTAGTAACCCTGTTGCTGGAATTTTATGCATGAGGTTTTAATAACAAGGCAGGCCTGTGCATGTGTGTGTATGAGCCTTCAATTCTGCTTTTGCACTGTTAAAATGACCAGTGAGGTCTTTATCAGAGTAATAAATGCAACTAATATGTTGCTGTCTGTGTGCTAAAGGTTCACATTTTTATATTCTACCTTAATACTCACATTTCCATGTTTACAGTAAGTTATTGGTCACTATAATCATTATTCCTGCCCATATAGTCTGTAAAGACATCACACAGTTGTCATTTTTGTATAAATTAATTCTAAAGTTTAGCGGTGTACACAGGTATGTGAGAATTGCTTTAAGACGCACTTGAAATAATGTTTTTATGTACTGCAATGCGTCACTACACGATATAATAGCTTGTGATGTTATGTAAAATACTGCTCAACTTTATGTCCATTTGTATGGTCATAGATCCTGTATTCAACTTTTAAAAGTTGAACCTACCCTTTGCCAACTTTAACCAACTTAATGCTAAACCCAGAGTTGGAACTTCCTGCCTTAGCTCAAGAAAATTAAATAAAGAATAATAATAAAGATTTGCTATAATAATAGAATTACAGTGTTTATAATGATACGCAAATGAAGAACTAAACTAGGTGGAAGTACTGGCCTAACTGAATATTTATTATATCTCATTTGCAACTGCATTTCTTTTCTTTTAGAACGTCCTGGGATCATCGCCTCAGAGAGGGCTTAGAGGCCAGGAAAATCTCAAAGGACCAGCTGGACCCTCACAAGCTCAGTGTGCTCATGGGTATGTCTGGCTCCTGCACGAACATTGTTCGTACTCTCAATACATGTCAACGGGGTCAGACTAAATAAACAAATATTCTTGTGAAAAAATAATTTTATTTAAAATATTGTTATATATTAAGTAATTGGCTACTTTTGTACTTCACAAATTGACTGCTGTGTTTCTATGTGAAATGACATGTAGACAGCACAGTTATGAAGCAAGTCTGAATGTTTGTTATTTGATGTACCTGTTTAATAATAATTTAATAATAACCATATACAGCTCCTTGGCTGAATACACAGTAGTGTTTATGTAATGTTTATGATTATGTTGTAATGGAAGAACTGAGTATTTACTAGGTCCCTTGTGGAAAACCATTTGACCTCTGTGTTTCCCACACATAGGCTTTACTTGGGCGGGCCGCCCAGGTAGATTAACAGCCGCCCAAGTAAATTTAAACAGTGCTGCACAGCGCATATTCGCTCTCTTCACTCGGTCGCTCCCTCTCTCCCAGCATGTAAGGAGTATAGCCAATAAGGATAGCTATGTTAACTTTAGAATGGGCCTACAGCTGTTGAAGATAGCACGCTATTCATAACTGGTAGTCAGTTGGTGCGTTCGAGATGACTGCGGCTGACTTTAGCCGATTTGATAGGCTAGTCTAACGTGAGATACAGGCGACTGTGGGGGTGGGGTATTAAAACAGCGCCGTCAGACACAATCTACCTCCGGTAGACTGCGTGAGCTTACTGTGAGCTTAGAACAATGATCAGGCAAAAGGTGGTTACAACTTTGTGCAGCCAGAGAAAAACAACCGCATGCGCCAGACTGGGCGCCTGCTACTGCCTTGCTCCCGCGAGGTAATGTTATGTCATGGTGATGTGACATCATGGTGACGTTTTGTAGCGCCAGGTGTTGTGACAAATTCTGCCTGCCTGCCGAGAATTAGATGTACCTCGCGTGTGGTAACGCCCTTTTATGCTGAGAAAAGAGGTGGACGCAAATCTCGGCAGGTAAATTAGCCTACATCATCTGTTCTGCCTAATTATGCATCCACCTGTATAGGACCTTTTAAGACTCTTTGCTGTGCTCATTGATTAACTGCAGTTATCATTACATATTTATTGCTAAATCTCAAGGAATGCTGCTTCTACTAACTGTAGCTAATAAAATATCAACAGCTCTAAACTACTCTAAACGTTCATGTAGGGCTGGGCGATATGGCCTAAAAATAAAATCTCTGATTTTATTTTTTTTAATTAAATTTACGATTTTTTCCGATTTCCCCCCCTACTTAAGGAAAGCAATAAGGTTTGTTGGTCAGTGCGGCTTTGTTCATCGCGGAGAGACTGGCATTTTTCATATTCGGCTGGATGTCTCTGTTTCAGGTGTTGGAATAGGTTTGTGGTGCTGCTGCCTTTCACTGCGATAGGCTTTAGGCAAATGTTGCAGCGTGGTGTCTGTTGTTCCACATCTGTCGCAGCAAACCCATACCAGTTCCAAACAACAGATGACTTTATTCCTTTCTTGGGAACAAACTTCCCGCTCTCACCGGTAGCCATTTTGTCGCTTGCTGTTGCTGTTTAGTGTATGATGTTGTCGCTATGGGAAACGAACACTACGGAAACCCCGGGGAGCCAAAAATGTGCTATTACACAAAAACTCGATTTACTTATTTTTTAAATCGCCCGCAACAAAAAATTCGAATTAATTCATTCAATCGATTTTTCGCCCAGGCCTACGTTCATGAAATATTTCGAATCATTTACCCCACAAAGAAAATTATAACTTTTAAAAACAGTATTTGGAAGTGCATGTAATTCTCGGCAGGCAAGCAAAATTCGGCATATCACCTGCTGAAGTTGCCTCCTCCCGCGCCACATTTACAGTTAGTACCTTCACTACAGTTGAGTAAGCGCTTGGACTGCCATACCAACGAGCCTGGCTCTTTGCCGTTGCTGTCAAAGTTGCATGTTTGGCACCCTGTAGACCTGTGTTTGAATCTGGGCAGGGTGACTGCTCAAGCTTCTCAAGGTTTGCCGTGAGGTAATCTGAGCCGTGCCCAGAGTCCGAACCGTATGAGAGACCCCCATGGGTTTAATTAATGATGGGATGTGTATAGTGTACTTTTCAGTGATACTGATCATATGTCATCATTTTACTGGTTTTATTTTTATTTGAAGGTATTTTGGGCAAGATGTGATACATGCTGCTGTACCTTTTTTAATGTACAGGAATTTATTTTTGTAATGTACACAAAATGAAAGGTTTTTTTTAGTTGTCTGTATGTGTGTTGTAAAATACTTTTTTTACTGGTTTTTATCATTATGCTAAAAGGGAATTTTGCAAGATATTTTTAATGCATTAATAATGCATTATTCTCATACTGAATGGTTTCATAAAGCAGCTTCCCAAGCCCTTGGAGTATACTAGTAATAAATTACTAATATGCTAAAATGCTAATAAAAATGTTCAGGGATCACATTTAAAATATATTTAAACTGTTCTATAAGTATAGCACAAAAGGGTATTTTAAGTTAATTTAAAAAAAGTATATTTAAATTACAATAAAGGTACTTAAAATAGGTCCATTTTAACACAACTAAGTATATTAAAATATATTGCAATTATCTTAAAGTTGACTAAGTATTTCTAAAATGGCACTTAACATACTTTAAGTTGTTCCAAAATAACACATATACACTTAGTATAGTACAATAAAAATATGATCATCCAAAAAAAGTGCTACTTAAGTGTATTTCTCTTTTACTTGGGCAGTAATTACATACATTGCAATATCTCATAACCCATGCCACCATAACTATTGTTCATACCAATAGCTCAAGTGCCAACATTAACAGTAGCCATTACAAGCAATTGGTCATACTAGATCAAGCAAGGCTGTAGTGGCAAAATTCCTCAGTGTATTAAGTTGAGCAAGAGTGTGTTTCATAGCTTATGAATTTAACTTTTCATTTGTGAGAGAAAGAATGTGTTGTTTCTTTGTTCAAAAGTTACATAACTGTAAAACCTGTCAGAAAAAAACTCTGTAGAACCATCAGAGACGCAAAAACCCCATTTATGGTTTTACCATTTCAATGCCATAACAAATACTCAAAATACTAATGAGTCTCCTGCCTCTACATGCAGATGTTTAGTGTTCTTCAAATTACAGTTAAGAGTCTGGTAATGTTCACACTGTCAAACAGTGGAGGAAGCAACAGTGGAGTAATTGTCGTCTAA